TTGGGCAATCCTACTTCCGTAGTGATACTGCCTCGGAAACCCAAGGAGGGGTCGCTATGAGTCGGGGCCGACTCGACGGCACATAACAACAACAACAAAGTTAAATAAAGTAAATCCATTTTGCAAGTGTAAATATTATTCAGTTTCTATTAATTTGTACCATTTCTACTCAAAATCATTCTATTGGTTTTTACTCATCCTAAAATGTTTTCTCTTACAGATCTGGCTGACAGCAATGTATCAAGGTTTAAAAGCCGGTACCTACTTTTGGCCAGGATCAGATGTGGCTATAAATGGCACCTTTCCTTCCAAATATGTGTTATACAGCAAGTAAGTGAAGCGCTTTCAGGCATCATTCCATCTAGACAGGGGTGCTTAGGAGTTGGATTTTTTGGAGTAGGGCTGAGGGCATTTGACTGCTAACCAGAAGGTTGGTGGTTTAAATCAAGCAGCCACTCTGTGGAAGGAAGATTGGGCAATCTGCTTATGTAATGATTTACCACCTCGGAAATCCAAAGGGGGTCACTGTGCGTTGGAATCACTTGATGGCAGTGAATTTTTTTTTTTTTTTTTTTTGGGAGGGGGTTAGTTGTGATGGCAGTTCTATTTTCAGTGGTTTGGCAAAATTCATCACTGGGCCAAAAGTCATCACTGATTTCTCCCTCCCATGTCTCTCATCCAGTCTGTCAGTAAATGCACTTGGCTCTAACTCAAATATGTGCAGAATCTGAGAATTTTTCATTACCTCCAGCATTACCACTCTGGGGGGAGATATCAGCATCTATTACCTGTTCTGCTACAATCACTAATTTACAGGTCTCCCTGCCTCTGTTCTTGCCCTGTAATCACTTCTTAATCCACCAGCCAGAATGATTCCCTTAAAAAGCAAGCAAAAGATACAAACAACAGAAGCTGAGACCAGAATACCCACAATACTGCATTACCATTAACACTAAACACCAGCCTACATATAAACACATAAACATCTGAGAGAATCAGATCAGGGGTCAGTGAACAGGATTATACTCTAGACCAAGGATAGATGCAGCTGAGGCTAATCTTGTACAGATACCTGTGATACAAAATACCTGCAGTCCTGACAGAAACAACAGAAGACAGACATAGAGTAATCCCTCACAGACAGCCAGACACTGGGGGAGAAGATCCGATGGTCTCTCTCTGGTCTCAGGACCATAGTACTAGGGGACACCAGACTCAATTTGTGCAACAAATACGTAAAAATCTTGCTCCTCATTCTACATTGGTGAGTAGTGACTAGTGTCTTAAAAGCTTTCAAGCGGCCATCTAAGATGCAGCTAATTGTCTCCTATTGTTGGAAGCAAAGAAAAGTGCAAAAAACCAAGCAATCAGCCCTAGGATATGATGGACCTTGAGACCAGAAGAACTAGAGGGTACACAGATACCAATGCCAACCACTTGGGAAAGGATCAAAACTGGAGATCCTGGATAGAAAGGGAGGAAAAACATGAAACAAAATCCCTAAACACAATAATGACTAGAATTACTGGTCGTATGGAGTCTGGTGAGACCCCCAATACTGTGGCCCTGGGATACATTTTGGGCCTGGAATAAAACTCACTCCCAGAGGTTTGCTCTCAGCCCAATAGTAAACAAGATGTACATGCAGACCACTCAACCCAGGGTGATGCACCCACACACTCTATGGAGATGCATCCCTTGGATCAATCAACCCCCGGGGCACCAGAGGGGCAACATTCATACAGAGGAAATACAGGACACACAGGAGTGCATAACTATGAGGGGCCTGTGGGGAGGGTTACTGGGCAGGGAGGGGAGGAGACTGGGTTAGGGTTGGGGATGGTAAATGGGGAGTGAAACTAAATGTACAGGTAATGTTGAATGTAAAACAAACTCTGCTCTGTAAGCTAGCACCTAAAACACAATTAAAAACTAAACAAAAAAAAAGACTATAAAAAAATAAATAAAAAGCAAGACCAATTATGCTTTTTATTTATTTATTTTTGTACCTAACATCTTGATGACTCCCTATTTCACTTAGTGTAAGTATCTACAAGGATCTATGTAGTATGACTTGCACCATCTCATCCTCGTACCTCTCAGAACCCCCCACCCCCATTCCCCTGTATGCTCATTCTGCTTTAGCCATACAGACCTCAAACCCCAGCCCTCTCATAGCCTCAAACACACCAGGTTTCCTTCCTTCCTAAGACCTTGGCACTGACTGTTTCCTTTGCCTGAAATGATCTCACCCCATGCATCCCCACCTCCTTGCCTTCTTCAGACCTCTGCTCAGAAATCACCTTCGCAGTAATGCCCTTCACCCTAACCACACTACAATTTCAAATTTCGTACCACCCCATCCCAGTCTCTCAGTGTCCCTTACTCTGCTCTAGTGTTTTTTTTTTTTTTTAAGCATAGCATTTATCATCTTCTAACACACTCTCTAATTTATTTATTAGGTCTAAGTTTATTGCTTGACCCATCCACTACAATGCAATCTCCAGGAAGCAGGCATCTTTTTTTTTCTCCCCTTGATAGACTTTGTTTTCAATGAGTAAAAGTGACTGGCAACAGGTGCTCAATACAGACATCAATCCCTAAATGAGTGAAATGGATGAACATAAACAAATAAATAAATGGAAAACAATGCACGGTCTTTTATTTTAGTCAGGGCAAAACTGAAGAAGGAGAAAGAGGGAAAGAAATCTCTATATGTTTGATTTACAGAGCTGCATGGATATTCATATATAGTGCATTCAAAACATGAATCCCTTTGAATACTACTGAATCTCTTTCAGTATTTGACTATATATGAAGATGGAATGAATATCTGAAAATATCAACCTGCCTTCCTGAACGAGCATATAATGGGATAATGCTTGATTCTTAAAAATTATTTTTACTCTTCTTTTCAGTGCTGTTGCATATGAACAGAGAATTTCTACACTGCTACAATGGCTGGATCTTCCCAAAGCTGAAAGGTAGTATCTAGTATCAGGGCAGGGGTGGCATGATGGGATATACATGGATATAAAATGAAATGATTTCATTACTTCCAATGACCTTTTGTAGGAAAAACAACCTAGAAGTCTTATTGAGTGGAAAATTTCACTATAGAGATGTTGTTGACCATTGAACAATAGAGATGGAGCTGGTATTAGAGAGCAGAGGCAAATATTATGGAGCCAGACATGATCTAAGAGTGGGTCTGAAAGGCAGTTGTGAGATCTGACTCCAGGAGCCACAGCTCAGAGCAAAGCCATAGCAACAGTCAGGGATCAGAGCATCCCGAAAAGAGAGCACCAGAAAAACAGTGCAACAGAAACCAGACATCTGGAGAGAGAACTGGACATGTACAAATGAATACCAGAGGGTAGAAAAGAATCAGCAAAAAGTCAGGAACCAGGTAATATAAAGAACCGAGACACACCAAAGTGCTCTGGTGGTATAGCGGTTCAAGCATTTGGCTGCCAAACATAGGTCACTGGTTGAAACCCACCAGCTGCTCCGCAGAAGAAAGATGAGGCAGTCTGCTTCCATAAAGATTTACAGCCTTGGAAACCCTATGGGGCAAGTCTACTCTGTCCTGGAAAGGGTCACACTGAGTCAGAAATGACTTAACGGCAGTGAGTTTTTGATTGGAGCACAAAAGAAGTCTTAACAACAGCAAGGCAGTTGTTCAAAACATACCAGGAAAGGATTATTCACTTCCTGTTAGGAGACCTATCCCTCCTGGGTCAGAGTGGAACCACCTGGCCTGGATGAGAGATGGAGGCCAGAGAGAAACAAAGGCAACTGACAGCAAGTTCCAGATCTACAAAATCTCCAAATCCAACCCATATGTTTATTCTAAATTGATAAAGACTTTTTCCTTTTCACTTTTGCCACTAGACCCAATTTTTATACTCTGTATATAGAGGAGCCTGATTCTGCAGGGCATTCTGCTGGACCAGTCAGTGCCAAAGTAAGTTTTCTTCTCTTTATTGTTTTTAAGGAAAAACAAATGTAAAATCATCTAACCCTCACTTACGGAAAATAATTTATTCTTTAGTATTCACTGAACACAAATGTATTTGATACATATAGGAGGAGATCAAAAATAGTTATAAGTCATAAAAGGATATGTCTTATTAACTACATCATGATTCATTTGTTAAACATTTATTAAATAATCATATATGTCACTGTTATTTCATATAGTGAAAATGTCAAGGCTTGATACTGCACATGCCAATTTAATACAGTACGGTGCCCCTTTTCAGCACAACTCCAGTTTGATAAATCCAACCACTATCCATGCACATTTCCATTCTTGAGTCCCTCATCATATGGAGTTATGTGTTATTGCCCAAGTCAAAGTTACCCTTCCTCCTAGGCCCCCATTATCATTGAAGTGGACTCTGTAATATTAGTTACTTTATTATCATAGCAAAACACTATCATAATAAAAATCCTCACAATTGGATCAATAAGCAAGATCACAATAAATGGAGAAAAGATTGATGTCAAATATTTCATTTTACTTGGATACACAGTTAATGCCTATAGAAGAAGCAAAGAATCAAACTATGTATTGCATTGGGTAAATCTGCAAAAATCTATTTAAAGTGTTAAAGAGCAAAGATGGCACTTTGAAAACTAAAGAGCACACCTGACACAAGCCATTGTATTTTCAACTGCTTCATATGTGTGCAAAAGCTGGACAATGAGTAAAGAAGACTTCAGAAGAACTGATGTGTTTGAATTGTGGTGTTGGTGCATATACCATGGACTGCCAGAAACATGAAAAATATCTGTCTTGGAAGAAGGAAAACTCCTTGAGCTAGAGTGGGGAGACTGTTTCTCTTACTTTGGTCATATAATCAGAAGGGACCAGTCCCTGGAGAAGGACATCATGCTTGGTAAAGCAGAAGGCTGGCAAAAAAAAAAAAAGAGAAAGAGCTTCCTATGAAATGGATTGACACAGTGGCTGCAACAATAGGCTCAAACACAGCACTGATTTTGAGGATGGCGCAGGACTCTGAGCAGTGTTTTGTTCTGTTGTATAAGGTCGCCATGAATCAGAACCAACTTATGGCACCTGAAAAAGTCAGTTCAATAAACTGTATTGATGATAAAGTGTTGGAAAATTTAAAAGCACAGAAGAATATAAGATACAAAATAAAAATGAACTCTAATTTCACTATTCAGTGATAACCCCTGTTAATAGTATTTTGATGTATTTCCTTATAGTTTTCTGTGTATGTGTACTTACTAAGACTATGTTAAATGTATTTAAAAGCAAAATCAGGATTGTGAAATATGTATGGGTGTTTATACTTTATGGGAGCTCTAGTGGCATAGTGCCTAAGACATTTGACTGCTAATGAGAAGGCTGGTGGTTGAAAGCCACCAGCCACACCTTGGAAGGAAGATTGGGCAATCTACTCAGTAGAGATACTGCCTCAGAAACCCAAGGAGGGGTCGTTATGAGTTGGATCTGACTCAATGGCAGTGGATTTAGTTTTTTTGGTTTTGGTATATATTTGGTTTTCATTGTTTTTTATGGTTAAAATTGTAGTGTGAAATTTTCCCAAGCTATTGTTCTTTATAAATGTTTATCAATGGGTATAGAATATGCCTTTTAGAAATGCATCATAATTTCTTTTTCCTTGTTTAATATGATGAATGGACTGGTTTTGGCCATTTTGAATCAGACAACCATATGATCTACTATGCCGGGAATGACAGTTTGAAAAGGAATGGCGTGGCATTCATCATCACA